AGTGTAGGGGGGGACTCCACGTGGGGATAGACCCGGTGGGCACTGTGATGGTGGAATGTGCTGGGTGGGGAGGGATGGAGCAGGTTAAGTGGGGAGGGTGCTACACCCCCACAGGCGGACCTAACTCTGACATGGGAGAATCCATGTGGGGTGCAGGACGGTGGGGTATCCTGGGTGGGGAGGGCCCTACACCCATATCCCACGCAGGACCTAACCCTGGCGTGGGGGCGTCCATGTGGGGTGCAAGGTGGTGGGTCATCTTGGATGGGGAGGGATGGGGTGGGCAGGGTGCTGCACCCATATGCCCACAGGGGACCTAACCCTGGCATGGAGATGCCCTATAGGGTGCAGGGTGGTGGGGCATCTTGGATGAGGTGAGGTTTGACACCTGTGGGAGAGGTCTGTGCTGCACCTATATCTCATGCAGAACCTAATCCTTACATAGGGGTGTCCTTATGGGGTGCAGTGCTGGTGGAGCATCCTGGTGGGGTGAGGTGTGACACCTCTGGGAGGGGGTCTGTGCTGCACCCACATCCCCAGTGGCAACCTAATCCCCATGTGGGAGGTGTGCAGGTGTGACACTGGGAGGATGCCTTGTGCAGGGTGGATGTTGCAGCCCTGTCCCCATGAGGTACCGCACCCTGGCATGGAGGGACAGGGTGCTGTGCTGTGGGGGCACTCTATGGGGTGGGGACAGGACGGGCAGATGGGGACAGGCATTAGGGGCAGCCCCACTGCTAGCCCACCCGTGGGGTTGGTTCCACTGTGGGGCTGAACTCGCAGTTCCCATGGGTGTAGGGCTGGGGATGAAGGCGCCTGGGACACCCCTCAGCGGCCCCAGTGGTTGCGGGGCACCCGTCTTCTCCGTCTCGTTCCCACAGCTTCGTCAAGGCAGTTTTTCTCGGCGCGCTGGCAGCCTGCCCGGCCGCTGCTCCTGCTTCACCAGCCCTTTGTGTCCTGGCATTTTGGCAGTGGGGTTTTTTCCATCACTCCCATTCCCAGTTGCGGCTGAATCACCTCCCAGATTCGCACCCACAAGCCTCCTGGGGAGCTGGGGTTCCGAACCTGGCACAGCGCTGCCTTCCTGGCCGCTGCTGCCTCGAGTGCGTGGCGTCTCTGTGGGGCTGCAGGCAGATGGCTGCCCTGAGCTGGGCTCACAGCGTAGTGACGTCCCCATGTTAGCATGGGGTATTTGGGGATCTTGATGGGGGTTTGCCTTTTCTCCAGAACAGCCTAGGGGTTGCAGTTGTGCTGGCAGGGACCACAGTGGCAGCCCTGAGCCAGCTCCCACTGCCTCACGGGCTTGTGGGGATGCAGGAAAACCCTTTTGCTGGCATTTATTAGTCATTGGGTGCCTTAAAATAGAAAGTGCGTGTGATCCCAGGCCTGAGGAGCTGCTGGACTTCGGCAGGCACTGCTTAATGTCATCTGCACAGCCTCTGTGGCTGCTTCTGCCACTACCCTCACACTGTGGGATGGGAAGGATGGATGAGGAAAGCGCCTGACCATCCTCACCGAGTACAAGCACGGCTGAGGGCTGAGCATCGGGGGAGAGTGGAAACTGCCCCAGTTCAGGAGTGCAATGCCCTCCTGGCTCCCAGGGGACCCGTCCTCGTGATGGGCAATGGCTGTCGCTAACAATAGCGTGTCAGGAAATGCCGTGTTCGGATGGGGCTTCCTCTGCAGCCACGCAGCACTTGTGTTCCCGCGCTGGGTTGCTTTGCTCCAGAAGACTCAACGCTGCATTTCTGAGTGCTCTGGCTCTGCCTTTCAGTTTCTAAACTTGTCCCAGGCAGACTTTTCCCAGCCTTGGGGTACACCCTAAGAGCTGTGCTTGCTGCCATCACTGCCCGATGGTTTTGCTTTCAGATTCCTCTTTTTGTTTGGTTTACCCTGGGACCAGGGTGGGGAGCGTGGAGCTGGGTATGGCCCTTTGCAGCCTGGTTGCTCCTTTAATTTTTCAACTGAGTGTTACAAGGGAGGAAAATGGGAAAACAACTTGTGGTTCCCCTTGCGCCCTTCACCCGAAATCTGATAGCAAAGTCACAGTCAGAGAGGGGGCTGTGGGTTGAATTCAGGGAAAAGCTGGGTCCCCCACTCCTCCCTGCTGTGGGAGCGGGGGCGGGCAGAGCTCAGTATTTGTCTATCCTGTTTGCAGGCCCAACAAGCCAAATTCCTCAGCGATGTGGAGAACGAGCTGGAAGAGCTGACAGTCACCATCGCACAGGCCAAGAAGATGGTGGCGCTCATTAAGGTGACTGTGATGGCTTTGCTCTGTTAGCACAGCTCTGCTGGACTGGGGAGCAGAGACAAAGGGGCCAGGAGATTTTTGGGGTGCATGGGGTGTCAAGGTGGTGCTCACAGGGTGCAAGTGCTCCGTAAAACAACAGTGCCCCTGGCAAGGATCCTTGAGGGTGCTGAACAGGGCACAAAGGTGCTCTCCCACACCCTCGCCTGCAGGAGGTAACCCCAACCCCTCTCTCTCTGCACTCAGGGTGCTGCCACGAAGGAGCGGG